ATTTCTTTGCCAGTGCATACTAAATTGTGGAAAGAGAGAAGACTTCACCTGCTCCAGGAAGCTGCCTTGCTTACTGGCTCTGTGAAGAACTCTGGGTTCTTCCCTAAGGAAGCTCTCAGCTTGGAATGGATAGGGTTGGACACAGTGGCCTGTCCTCAGGAGTCCCCAATCCAGAGATTAGTCACTAAAAAGATCTGCAGCATCCTGACCTAGGAAATATAGAATCCTTGTGGAGTCATAAAGTGTTAGCAAAAAGGTTAAGAGAGCAATCATTGTCAGAATTATGTGTTCAGCTAAACATGGGTCCAAATATTCAGATCCTAAGAGAATACAAAAGGGTAGAATCTCTTCACAAAATTTGAGAGGCAAAATACTGCTGGGGTAAAAGTGTGAGTCTGCCTTTGACAAATGACTAAAACTCAGATGAAGGTAGGGAGTGAACTTCTGTGGCAGGCTCTGAGCTGAGACAATATGTGGGTGGGCATGAGGACAGCATCTGTGCCACGAAGAGCAAGAGCCAATTGTAGAGAGATCCATGACTTTGATGAAAGGCCAAGGTCAACATTTGTTTTAGGGTTGCAGCACAGCTTCTCACCACTAGGCTACCAGACCCCCCTTAAGGTCAACATTTGAGTCTAACCGCTTCACAGTGGAACCTGAAATACAGTGAACAGAATGACTTGTTCAGGGTTAGAGATCAAGATCAAGACCAAGCTCTCATCTTGATTTCAACCCTGACCTCACTCTCAGTATCAGCCCAGTAGGCCTCCTGGAGGTGGTTGGGCCTTTGGGCGTTGGAGGCAGGAATGAAGCCTCTGACACACTCTCTTCCTACCTAGGAACATGTTATCTATTGAATTCTATGGGAAGGGAGCCTCAAGAAGCTGAAACTGGGGCAGCTCTTAAATAACCAGGCTACCAGACACAGTTCATCATGTATCCATCAGTTGCCCCCACATGTTTTGCTCAAAATCCAGATTTTGTAGTGAGATGAAAGCTCTTGATTTTAGAGGTGGTAAATCAATCCTCCCACACCAAGGGATAAGTCCTAACTGATTATAAACTGTGCTCGCTTCGGCAGCTCATATACGAAAATTGGAACGATACAGATGATTACCATGGCCCCTGCACAAGGATGACTAATTGACTAAAAACTAATCCCAGTATTGCGATTCTGTGTGTCAATGATTGGTTCAAATTGACATATGGTCTAGTTCTTTCCAGTGGAAGTGTCTAGAAACTCCTAGAACAGATTTTACTTTCCTGATAAAAAGGAAAGAGGTAGTTGGTGCCATCATACCCACTGTCCCCCCACCCTATATAATTTCCTTCTTATCTTGAGGACAGAAATTTATGTGGCATGAGGGCAAAACCAAGTTACCCATAGGATGGCAGTGCAGATGACAGTTCAGAGTATTCGTAGCACTAATGAGCTATAGGACCAATGACAGCAAGTGTTAATCTCCAGACGTCTTGTTAAGTAAACGCTAAATAATCCTCTGACTTAAGCTACAGTAAATTGGAAGCACAAGCGGGATCCACTTCCTAAACAACATGCCTCTGGAAACTATGAACTTTGATAAATGTTGATAGTTATGGAAAAGCTTCAGACCTTTTGTTCATAGGGTCACTATGAGTTGTGCTCGACTCAGTGGTAATCAACAACAATAAACGAACACCAGGTAATTTTATGATTTAAGCCACAGTTAAGTTAGATCTTTTCCCCCTCTTACTTACAGTCAAAACCACTCTTAATTGGCAATAGACCATGAATATTTCTGTAACCACCTCTAGCCACCTAGAAAAGTTCTTAAGAAAAAGCCTTCAGTCAGCATCCACATTTACGAGTTCTGCTTTCTTGAAGCCCTCAGTCCAGTTTGCTTGTCAGTCCCAAGTTAGATGGTGTCTCATAGGGTTCTTCCTTTGCTGTTGTTATGTGCCATCGAGTCGCTTGCGACTCATAGCAACCCTATGTACAAGAGCCCTAAATGCCGTTCTATCCTGTGCCAACCTTGCCATCTCAAACACACTCTTCCCACTACTCCAGTCACAGAATCGATCCATCTCATCGACGGTCTTCCTCACCTGTGCAGTCCCTCCACTCTCCCAAACATGATGTTCCTCTCCAAGGACCAGTCCCTCCTTGCAACATGCCCAAAGTACGTCAGACGCAGCTTCAGAATCTTTGACTCCAAGGAAATTCCGGCTTCACCCTCTCCAGGACAAACCTGTCCATGGTATATTCAACACTCTTCTCCAGCACCACAGCTCAAAGGCATCAATTCTCTTTCTATCATCCCTATTCACTGTCCAACTCTCTGATGCATAACACGTAATTGTGAAGACTATAGCCTGGATCAGGTGCACCTTAGTCTCCAGCCTGACGTTGTTGCTCTTCAGTACTCCTGAGTGGTCCCTCACAGCTGACTTTCCCAATGCAATTCATCTCCTGATTTCCTGGCTGCTGTTACCAAGAGTGTTGACTGTGGAACCAAGTAAATAAAAACTGTTAACTATTTCAATCTCTCACCATCCATACTGATGCTACCAATTGTCCCAGTGGTGAGAATCTTTGTTTTCTTGATGTTGACCACCCCCCAATATCTTCTCCATTCAGACCTACCAGTCCCAATCATTCTTCCAGCCTGCCCTGAAATGGTCTAATAAACCATATTACAACCATTATTTGTGGTACACTGAAATTTCACGCTGACATTGGTCTCAGGCTGCATATCAATAAAATTAGTAGTTCTTATCCTTGGCTGAACATTAGAATCCGTTAGGAAGCTCCTAAAAATCTGGATGCCCAGTCCTCTCTTCAGACCAAAGAAACAAAAATCTCTAGGGCAAGACCGAGACAGCATTCACTTTTCAAAGTCCCCAAGTCTTGCAGTCATGGTTTGAAAACTACTTATGTGTTCTCAAAGGGCAGGAAAGGGATTCGTTAGCTCAAGTAAAAATGAATGCAAACCCCCAGCAGTCTTAGCCTGCCTTTGTTGTCGAAGTGATGACTTACTCAACTTAGCTCTTAATTCACCTACCTTGTCCCCAAGAACCACCTGGGCACCCCGCCCTCCACTCTGATATAATCCACCAGCTGCTCCATGGGAGAAATACAGTCAATCTCCTCCGGTGTGATTCACAGCTTCTGAAAAACCTGCTAGAGGGTCAGCTATGGGTCAGTTCCGACCTGACGGTGACATGACAACGTGCCAACTATCAGCTTCTCAGGGCAAAGACTAACACTGTCTCACGTCAGAGAAGGCAGTAGTAAGGGACTCCTGTCTGGTAGTCTTCTCTGACCAAGTAGAGCCTGGGGTGAACTTGCTTTTGGTCCTAAGGTGCAGAGGGCCAATGGTTAGGGAAAGGAGGTGGAGTAGACATGGATTAGAAATGTGGGTTGAAGCCTTAATTGCCACTAGCTCGATGTGTGACTTTAGACATATCATTTGACCTTGCTGTGCCTTGGTTTCCTCCTGAGGCAAACAGGGACAGTAACCCACCCATCTCCCAGGCGCTGCTGTAAGATTGAGTCACCAGTGGGTTCACCACAGGAAGACCTGGAGCACAAATGTAGGCAGAGACAGGAAGTTCATTCTTCTAACTTTCTATACACATCCCTCCCCCTCCAGTGGCCAAACCCAGGGATAAGTCAGCACAGCGTAACTTTTCAAGGAAGATATTGCATTTGATAAGGGCAAGGTATTAACGGTGAGGTCCAGAATCACTGAACCCAAGGAGACCAGAGAGAACTTCATCCTTGATGGAGTTTCCTTAGGTTCCCACACTTTCTTTTGCCCTGATAACTCCATCATTTGACCTCATATTTCTGCCTTGGCATCTCTTCAGAGCAGCACAGAAGGACACAAAACAGGGCTGGTGGCTGAGGAGGATTGTCTTTCACACATCTGTCCTTCACAGCAGTTTTGGAGACACGTCTTCCCAAAGCCACTCTGTAGTCAGTACCTGCCCCTTTGATATCAGGGAGATTTCCTCATGGGCAGGGGCTGTTTGCTCCTGAACCCCAGTGCTGCCCATGCACCAGTGGGTCCCCACACGTGGTCACTCAGCACAGGAAAGGTTTTCTTGTCTAGCGGTTCTCATACTTTGGTCTGACCACTCTGAAGTGACCCTGCTAATTAATGGCATTAACAGCTGGAATGCAGATGAGAGAAAACCTAGACAGATCCCCAACTGTGGCCCCCAAAAGGCCATTACTGTCCAGACCTGGAGTGTGAACCTTGAATGTGGGGATGGCAGGAAAAGCTTGTTCCAGGAGAGCTTAACTGATCCATCTGGGAGAGAATGGGGTGCAGAGGACCCCAGCTTGTAGTTTTTAGCAAATGTTGGTCCAAGAGAACCAAGGAAAACAAGGGATTAAAGGGTCTCCCTAAAGAGCTGGGAATGGAGTCCAAACTATCAATTAAAATGGAAAGAACTAAAGGGGACCTGAGTAGACAAAGATGCCCTGTGGGGAGGAAGGTAGGGATCATCTTGAAGTTCTTAAAATTCCTCATCCTTTTGTGCTGGTACCAGACAAGCAGTTCTGGGAGTCTCCAGAGATGATCTGATTCCCAGGCTCACTCCAGCAGTGGGAAGCTGACCAAGGCCCAGTGTTCTGTCCCCGGGAACGGTTGCCCCCTTGAGTGACAGATGATCTGAAGCAGCCCAGGGTGAGCTGGAGGAGGCATGGGTACTGAGAGTTTGTTTTCTCACTCCCCAGCCTGGAGATCTGATTCCTATTTAGACTTCCTTGGAACTAACCAAATGCAAACGTAAGCCTGGTGCTGGGCCAGAGTGATGGCTGTTGGAGGTCTCATCCCTTCTGTCGCTCACTGTTCCAAGAGAGATGATGGGAGAGCCCCTAGAAAGATGGGGACCAGCAGCCTCTTCAGGGGCTCCTTTGCCTTCCACGCCCATCCTCCAGCTGCCCAGCCTCACCTTTGAGTTCAGGCTTGGAGAAAGAGGTGGCCGTGTGTCTAGGCGAGGTGTGGGCATTATTGAGTCACTACGGGCTGTGCACAGCAAACGTCCATTGGAGAATGCGCCAGACGGGGCAGGATTCCTCAGAAGGGCGGCCGCTGGGTCTGCGGGTCTTGAGGCTCACCCTAAGTCTCAATATGGGTCACATTCGCCCAGTCAGGGAAATGGTCCAAGTCAAATATGACCCGGCCCCAGGTGTTGACGGCCAAAAACACGCAGAAGACGCCAATGATGTTCATCATCAGTCCTGTTTTCACCTGGACAAAGACAGAGTCAGAGTCAGCACCCTTGGGTCAGCCTGGACTGTCAAACACGGACAACAAGACCCGGGGAGTGACTTCTCAGGGCAAGAGATGAAAAACTGGCTCTCTGGCACTCACTCCCCCTGTATCACACCCCCTGCTTGCTACCTCCATACCCACTACCCCTGCCAACAAAGCAACCCTGTGCTCACCAGGGACTCCTCAGAGCAAGCCTGGGGAAAGGCAGGACAGGTGACTTCCCTATGCCCCTTTCAGCACTGGGAACACTGAGCCTTGGAGGAGCTAAGGTGAGGTGAGATGAGGAAAGGGAACAGCTCCGGGCTGTTGGTACCATTACTGGGCATCTGTCTGTCACTCTTCTTGTGAACCATGGCGTCAGAACTGAACCATAGCTGAGCCTCCAGTAGATTTTCAGAGGTAGTAAATCACACAGGAGCAGTCTGCCCGTCTTTCTCTGGCAAAGCAGCTGGTGGATTTGAACCATGTGCCTTAGGTTTGGCAGCACAACTCTTTACCACTACACCACTGAAAGTCAAGGGCTCATCTCTGTAGCTTTGCCCTCCCCAGAAGGACCTGGAGGGTTTCTGGTGAATTGCCATCAGCTCTTTCTAATGTCTGCTCTGTGTGCCTTCCTAATAATACATATCAAACATTGCTTTATAAACAAGCTGGAGATTTGTTACTGGAGATTGATATTGACTTTGCAGCCCATTGTTTCTGAACATCTACCTTTCTCCTCTCTATGGAAAGCCTTCATTGACTTCCAAGGATGCCCAGGTTTGCACATGTGCCTGCAACTACAGAAGGAGATGCAAATGTGCCCTCTCCTCTCATCAGAGAGGATAAACCTGAACCAGTGTGAGGAGCCCTTCCTGAACTACTTCTGGTCCCAAGGGACCACCCTCCCCTAAGCAGCAGCTCTCTCCCCTTTTTGCTTTGACCTAGTTAGAGCTCTGGTAGCCTAGTGGTAAGGAGCTGTACTGTTGACTCAGAGGCAGGCAGTTCAAATCCACTAGCTGCTCCACAGGAGAAAGATAGGGAGTCTCCCCTATGCAATTTATAGTCTCTGAAAATCTGCTGAAGGAACAGCCATGAGGTGGTTCCAGTTTACTAACACATAACAACAACAACAACAATAACAGTACCACAGTCTCTTCAAGCATGGTCTACATTTTTCCCTTGTCTAGACTTTGTCCCCTTTGGCCCTTGTATTTGGTTCTTGACCATCCTCAGCCATGTGGTCCTCTCACTACCACCCTTTCCGCTGGAGGGTACACCTTGTAGATGACATGGGCTTCTTTAAGTGGGAGATTCTATAAACCCTTGCTCAGTCTTGACAGACATAACAGGCTATGCAAAGAAAGAAATAATATGTATTATAAATACAAAGAATGACTATACTAAGCCCACTGCCTGTGACTCCATCTCAACTCACAGGACCCTATAAGACAAAGCAGAACTACCCCATAGGATTTCCAAGGCTGTAAATATTTTTTAATGTATGTTTTTGTGTGTTTTGTTTTTACTATTTTGTGTGTCTGTGTGTGTATCATCAAATCAGATCTGACTGGTACAGGAGGAGATTGCCCCTCCTTCTCCAGAAGAGCATCTGGTGGATTGGAACCGTACACCTCCGGGATTGCAGTGCAGCTTCTTGCCACTAGGCCACCAGAGCTCGCCTAGGCTGTAAATCTTTATAGGAGCAGACTGCTGCCTCTCTCCTTAGGTAAGGCTGGTTTGAACTGTGAGATATTTTTTTGGTTAACAACTCATTGCTTAATCTATGGCACCACCAGGGCTTCTTAAGAATTATTCTAGGCCTGGGGTTTTGGTGCCATTCTCAAATCTTACTGCTTTATTTTGATGCTCATACATCATTAATAAACTAAGCATCCTTCATGACAAAAGATCAGAGTCTGATTTCATTGTTGCTGTTAGGTGCTGTCAAGTGAACTACAACTCATAGTGACCCTATAAACAACAGAGCAGACACCCTATCTTGTGCCATCTGCATGATCTCTGCCACATTCTAGCCCACTGTTAGAGTCACTGGGTCAATCCCAACTTGTTGAGGGTCCTCCTCTCTTTCACTGACCCTCTACCTTTACCAGCATGCTGTCTTTTTGCAAGGACTAGCCCCTCCTGACAACATGCCCAAGTATGAGAGATGGCGTTTCACCATCTTTGCCTCTAAGGAGCTCCCTGGCTGCATTTCCTCCAAGACAGATTTGTAGTCTGATAGGAATATACAAAAGCAGCTGTGTTACCATGTCAGAAACCTTGAGGTGTCCATAGGCAAACACGATGGCATTAGGTGGAGTGGCCACGGGCAACATGAAAGCAAAGGATGCGCTCAGGGTACAGGGAAGCATGACGTACAGCGGGTTGAGGCCGATGGAGCGTGACTGGGGAAAAACACAGCACAGCAATGTCACAGACATAGAAAGTACACATGAGCATTCCATAAAGCATTCGTGGGTGCACCATGCACCCGCTCACCCCTGGGCCCTTGTCTTGCTGTTTCCTTTATCCTTATTATCACCCCTGACAGAAAGCTCTACTGAACATCCCAAGCTTAATACAGAGGCCACCTTCCCAGGGAGGGCTTTCTGACCCCCCTGGCACATTTAACATCTATTTCTTAAATATGTACTATGTGTCAGAAGGAGAAGTAGTGGTAGAATTCATGCCTTCCCTATCAGATACCCAAGTATGACACCCACCCAATGCACCTCGTGAACAACTAACTACCATATATTCATCTATCGGTGGAAACTTGTGTCTGCTATGATGCTAAACATAGAGGTTCCTTTCGATTTTCCAGAGTAAGATGAAGTAGGAAGAAAGACCTGGTGATTTGCTTCTGATGGACCACAATGTCTCATTTCATTGTGAATGGAGACATCATGAGTCACAGACCATAGTCTCAGGTGAGAAAACATGCACCAGAGACTATGCTGAGCACTGAGACTACATCGAATCCCCAGGGTGCCTCCAGCCCACGTGCATGCTCTGCCTCACTTTGGAGGCCAGGTGCATACATCTGTCTGTCCTTGCACAGACTCAGAGTGCTTAGAGGGCAGGGACTATGCCTTGTCATCTATACAAGCATGTAAGTATATATATATATGTCTTTTAACACATTTCAGATGCATTGGCGTATGGAATTTTTTCATACACCTTTTTCTTCATTTTAAAATTCGGACACACCTAGCGTGCCCAGCACAGAGTCAGCACTCACTCTTTGTTAAAGGAATGAATGATATATAGCTATTACTCAATACCGTCAATTCATTTCCGACCCATAATGATCCTCCATTGAGTTTCTGAGGCTATAAATCTTAACAGGAGATGGCCCATAGATACAATGACATGGAGGTAGCCAAGTCTGACTTCTGCCTGCTTCATAAAGGGGAACTGCCCCCAGCAATAGTATCCATAGTAACAAATGGACAGCTGCTGGATCAGATACACCACCTCTCATGTTCCTTTACCTATGTCCACCAATCACTGGGTTTGATATTCATTCTCACAGACTTTACTCACAGTTGTGGTACCAAGAGTGGCGTTTATTAGGAAAATAGTTTAGGGCGTGAAAGAGGTAAAGAATATCTTAAAAGACAAGACCAGATTTAATCCAGCAGTCTCAAGCCAGATTAACAGCAAAACACAATTGCTTAGTGTCCTGGTTTCAATTCAGCACAAAGTAAAGAAGCCTCTGGTTTCCTCAGTCATCCAGCAAGGTTTACCTCAGAGTAGTCAGCTTTCCCTTCAAGCATCTGGCAAATAAAACCTTTAACTGTGACCAGCACAAATGCAAGAAGCCTCAGGTTACACCTTGCCAGAGTCTCTCCACAGCAACACCACGGTGTCTCCACTACCATCACTGGGTCTTGCTCTCTCCAGGGTCTTGCTCCAATCTCCCTCAAGTCTTGCCACCCAATGTGAGAAGTACTCACTCTCTTATCTTAGTCCCACAGCTGTTGATGATTTGCAAGACCATGTGCCTGAAGTTAAGTTAGCTGGAGAACAGAGGGAGCTAAGATATGGCTTAAAAAAGCTAACTTTATGCTAATACTACACCCATCTTTCTTCCACAGAGTGGCTGGTAGATACAAAGACCTTCCTATTGGTTAACAGTTTGAGAAGCTACACACTATGCTACTAGGGCCATAAATATCTATCAAAATTAGTAACTTATTACACAGATTTATATGTATATGAAAACAGACATACATGTGAAGATGTTCATTGCAACACTGTAGCAGCAAACCACAGGAAATAGGCTTAATGATTGTCAATAACAGGATGGTTACATAAAATATGCTATGTATAAGCGGTGGACTATTACATAGTTTTGAAGAAGAATTAGGTAGATATCATATGTTAATATGCAAAGATCTTCAAGGTTATAGTTATTAAAAATTAAGGTGCAGAACAAAATCAGAATGATAATATTTATTTTAAAAGAATTTGTGTTTGTACAATATAGCTGAAATTATATCTAATGAATTAATGATAGAGGTCATCTCTAGGTAAGATGCTAAGGAATTAGGATTTGTTTATTTTTTATTATTAGACATTTTAATTTGTATATATGTGCCACATTCTCAACTTTAAAAAAATTTTACCATGAGCTTGTTCCTATTTTATTAAATTTTCTTTGAAATGGATTTTTCTAAATGACTTGATAGTATTTAGTACATAAATATGTTATATAATAATTTAGTTTACCAATTCCCCATTGTAACTTTCATGTAAGAAAAATCTGTGATGTATATAATTATTATATATTCATCTCTGATTATTTCTTTACAACATATTCTTAGACATGAAATTGCTGAGTCAAAGATCTGAGTAGGTTTCAAGTCGTGGTTTCTTTTGCTGATTATTCCTCTGAAAGGGTTTTACCAGGCTACCCTTAGGTGTAACCAATATGTCTTAAGCAGGTGCCTGTGTGTCTCCTACTCACCTGCCCTACCTCCACCTTCATATTGTCCTGGACATGAGTGACATATAGAGTGTATGGGCCCACACTCCTTTCGGGCCCTGCTAAGTGACTACCACCTTTTCCTTTTCTATAAGTGAGTCCTAAAGATGTATGAGGGGCCTTGGAAGTAGCTGTGAGGATTTTTCACTTGAGGTTTCTGGTTCTAGAACAACTTGTTTTCAAAGGGCTTGGCCACTTGTTTGGCATAAACCACAAACAACCAAACCCATTGCCAGTGAGTTTATTCTGACTCATGGTGAACCCACAAACGTTGACTAGAATTACTACCTAAGGTTTTCAAGGCTGTGACCTTTCAGAAGCAAATCCTCAGGACTATTTCCTGAGGGTAGGCGCAAATCACCAACCCTTCAGCTTGTAGATGAACACTTAGCCATTTGGGGGGACTCTGCCTTGGGGTAAAACCTGCATTTCGCTGGCTTGGAACCCTGGGTGCTCACTGCTAGGGGTGGAGGGGATAAAGTAAGGCCTTTGCCAAGAAGGGGCATCACCACTGTATGGCCAGCATCAAAAGAAACTTCTCAGTTGGAGCAGCTGCTCAGGAGAGAAGGAAACAGAGCCAGCTTGCTATTTTTAAGGCTTTCATCTTCCCTTGGAACCCTTCCACTTGAGTTGGCTTTTTACACATGTGGACGGACACCCAGGCAGCTAAATGGAATTTTACCAAGTTAAATCCTGTGCGCGGGCCCTTCCTAAATCAGCCTCCCAACTCCAGATTAACAGCAACAACTTCTCGCATGCCTTCCCCCTCTCCCCACACCAGCCTGCAGAGAATTTCCCTAGCTGTGAAGACCTAGCTATGGTGTTCTCCGACCTTAGCACAATGCTGGCAGGAGCTCTTCTTAGAAAGGTAGGATTTGGTATAAACTAACTCTCAGCCTATCTTTACGGGTCTTCCTAGTTGGTCACTTTAGTGGCTTAAGGACTCTCTGGTCTTCTGACCCCAAGTCTAGGGTTTATTATATCACTTTGAAGTCTGTAGTGCTATGTGATAAATGACAGAAGGAACTAACATAAAGAACAACGACATTTCCTATAAGCTTTGCATTCTTCACAATCACCTCAACACACTTACTTTAAAAAAAGAAAACTCTTTAGCCTTAAAACTCTTTACTCTTTGGCATTCAGCAATCTCTTTGCACCGCTACCTCTCTGCTGTCATCTTGTACTGATCCTGATCAGAACCCAGCACTCGCCAAGCAAAGCTTCTGGAAATCCTCAACTGTGCACTCAATTTCCCTTAGTCAGTCTGCTCCAAATTCCCAGAATGCCTTCTGCTATTCTACTCAATAAGAAATCCCACTTTCCCCTCCATCTTCCCAGAATGCCTTTTGTTGTCCCACCTATTTAGAAGTCCCACTTTCCTCTTAATTCTCCTTCCATATAGGTCCCAGCCAGCTGTGTCCCCCTGCACTGCAGTCAGTCCTCACCCACATTTGTGTTCAGAAACCCACTGGTTTTCCGCAGTGTTCTTGACCCCCTCTTCTTTGACACAAATCCTGTCCCGTCAGCATGAAAAAGAATGTAATTAAATTACATTTACAGAATAAAAGTATAGCACCTGCTCCATGTTTGACATTTGGTCAGTGCAGGGTGGGGTAGATTAAAAAAGAAACACCAAAAACCAAAAACACACAACACCAAACAACAAACAAATCTAAAAAAACATTGAGGGGAGGACCAATTAAGAATATGCAAATCTGTGACAGGACCAGATCCAGATCTCCAGAGTCTAGGTAAGCTATGACTTTGATTTCACTGTCATTCTTGGGACCCAGGACATGTTCACAGGGTGTCTGCTTTTTATGAAATCATCTAGAGGATCTTCCTCAAATCTCCAGCAGGGGTACTTACCATGGAGGCAAAGATGGGCAGGAACAGGGTGGTGGTAGCCACATTACTTGTGCACTCAGTGAACACAGCAACAAGTAAGGACAAGATCACGGTGATGGCTGTTGGGGGCACCGCGTGCAAGGGTTCCATCTGCTTCCCCATCCACTCGGATAATCCCGAGGCCTGAGAAGCACAGGGTGGGGAGTCACTCAGTGCTTCCACCTTGCAATCCCTCTGGGGAACGAGGGGCCCTCATCTGTCTTCAGAGAGATTGATCCATCCTCCACTTCTGATTCTCTCTGCATGCATTTCATTCATCTCCACAACTCAGTCTCCATCCTCATCCTGCTCTCTCCTAAATCTACTCTCGAGATTGACTGAAACGCCAATAAACTCTCTAGAACGGAGTACTGGTGGCCTAGTGGTAAGGAGCAGTGCAACAATCCCAAAGGTATGTGGTTCAAATCCACCAGCTGTTCCATGGGAGAAAGTTGGGCAATTCCCTCCCATGCAATTAATTTACTGCCTCTGAAAATCCACGGGAGGGCCAACAAGGAGTCAGTTCTAACTCAACAACACATAACAACAACAATGCCTTCCAGAAATGTCTACCAACATATTCTATAATCCTGTCCGATTTATTATGTCTCAATCTGAATTCAGCTACTCCTCTAGGAGTGAATGGACTAACCGTGCACCTCTATCCCAGAAAGAAGGTTGGGAGTCAAGCCCTTATTCCTTACATTTAATCATCCCAAAGTCACCCCAAACCTTCCGTGACTCTTTTCCAGCCCCACTAGATCCTGAAGCTCAGGAAAGTTATCTGGGCCAGAAATACAGAACTTAGATTGGAGAAGAGATCTTCTAAGGAGAGAATGGAAGGTGACCAGAGAAGGGGCCAAGGGCAAAGCCTTGAAGACCCTTATATTTAATAAGACATAGGAGAGAAAGTCAGCCATGGAGATTGCGCAGGAATAGTTAGAAAGAAACTGGGAGAAAGTTGTACCCTGGGAACTAAAGGAAGTGGGGAAATAAGAAAAAGAAAAAACCCAAGAGAATGACCCAGAGAGTCAAATGTTCTGATAATGAGTTAGATGAAGACTATAATAAATACTTACTAGACTGGCTCAGGACAGGGCAGGGTTCAGAGCTGCTGTACTTAGGGTTGCTATGGGCCACAGGCAACCTAGCAGCACATAACAACAACACAACTTCTTTCCCAATTTCTCCCCATGCCTAGACCGTCACTCAAGCCATCAGTGACTTTTTTCAATGTAGATCTAACCAAGTCGCTCCTGCCCTCAACCCTTCTATGACTGCCCATTGCCTTCCTCATGACGTCCACGCTTCCTCTCTTGAATGCAAGGTCTGCAGTGAGCTTCTGCTTGGCCTCACCTTCACTGTTGCTCAGCTAGCTGTCACTGGCTTGGGCATCATTTCCTTCTAGAATGTCCCCCTACCTAAGCCCTCAAGAATACAAAGAATATCTCCATCATAACAGGAATGTCTGATAAATGGAATGAAAAGTGGATGAATGGAAAAGTGATTATCCAGATAGATTTGTTTATCCAAAAATACATATGCATCAGCTACACTAGTCTCTGTTCTAGAAGTTGTAGAAAAAGTGGTAGCAAGGTAGACCAAGTTTATCTATTCAGTTCTGCTCCTAGATGAATAAATGAATGGATGAGGGCCACACCAAGTTATCCGTCACATCTGGCTCATTCCTTTCATAGGAGGGGTGGGAGAGGGGGGATACAGTAAGTTATATGTTTGGGGTCTTTTTCCCCCCATAAAAAGTGCTTTTCTCTTATGCTACTGCTTACTTAAGTTGGAGGAAAATTATAAAATGACAACCACATCCACAAAGAATGCAGCAAGCAGAAGAGTCAAAGAGAATGTAAAAAATGTTCACAAAGACTTGAAAGAAAGAGTCCCCTAACATAAATGAGCAGGGATTATTATTGTCTGTGTATAGAGAGGAAAAAAAATCACACTGAATCCCAAATAGAACCTGCCAGTGTCCTCTGTTCTCTTGACTGATCAAGGATGCTCATTCACTCATTTCTGTAATCCCTCCACAAATATTCCTAGGTCCCTTCTCCAGAACAGACACTATTCTCGGTGCAGGATTCCTGGATGACAAGACAGAATCCCTGTCCTCAAAGAATGTGAAGGTATGAGAGGAAGAAAGACACAGCAACACGCAGGAACAGTCATGGATGGAGAAGTATAGTATAAGAATACAGCAACTCTTTGGTCATTCCTTGGTGAAGGGAGGGGCTGTGTGCAGCCCAGAGTTAAAGAAATTACCTCACACCCTTTAGCCACTGCAAATCCACCCCCCAGCAGCAGCACGATGCCCCAGGGCACTTTCTCCTGGGCCACTTTCCAACTCAGCAGTGCAGGGGGATAAAACGGAGTATTCCTATCTGAGAAGACAAAATAAAAACATACATATAGATAAACCAGCATGAGAAAGCAAAAGAGACATGAATAAGGGAGGAAAAAATCCACAAAGATTATGAGGTACCATTCCACACTTGTTAAATTCTTTAAAATTTACAAGTATGACTATAGGGAGTCCCAAGGTTATAAACTCTGACTTAAATTCGATAAAATTTACAAGTATGACTATAGGGGGTCCTAAGGTTATAAACTCTGACTTACGTACAATGAATGTACAGTTATGGACAAACAACTATGAAGTCTGTAAAATTTAAAATCTAGGTATATACAATGGTTCATAATAACAAATGAATGCTACTTTATGATACAAATAAATGTTATTATTTTCAAGATGTTTCAGTGTGCCTGGATGTATTCCTTTAATGTTTTCTATGCATAGAAAGGTACATCATATATTATATACTAAGACAAACATTTGACTAACTGATGTTGGATATAAACTGTACTTAACTATTGCAGGTTACATACACTTAGGAATGAAATTCATTCTTAATTTGAGGACTGCGTAGATACCATTTCCAGAGAGGATGTGGTAAAACTTACATACATTTCTCATAACATTATAAACTGCCACAGCCTTTTTGGAAAGCAATTTAGCAATATATTTCAAGAGCCATTAAAATATTTATACTCCACCAAAAACACTCCTAGAAATTTACCCCAAAGAAGAAAGAACCTCGAAGAAAAATCAGTATTCACAACAATGAATGAACGGAAATTTCTTGCAATATAATAGAGTCATATGCTCCATGCAATGAGATAGAGAACTAGGGCTCAGCTTGGAACTTAACTGCTCTAACCTCTCCCAATATCCTGTAAAATTCTGCTATGTATTAACATTTAGTGAGTGCTAACCCTGCCTTGCTCTAACACAGTGTCCTCGACAGATTACTATTCTGAAAACCTGATCTAAAACTAAACCAGTTCGACTCAGTTCTGGAGCATGTGCAGGAACACCATTCTTGCCGCGAGCTGACTTTCCCAAGCAGAAAGCAAAGCTATCTATTAGTCAGGGGAATCGAACCAGAGGACCTTGCTACACAGTCCATTCACACCATCTAGTAATAAGAGATGCCTCTTGATCCAGAAGCTTCTACAACAATATCCATCTTGGATATCCAGGTGTGCAAGCACTTAATTATCATAACCCCTCCTGATGGGTATTTTCCCAGAATTTCTCACCTTCGGTTATAGATAACCATGAAACCCCTTCTCTCTTAAACTTTAGAAGCCAAAACAATTACTTTATCCAGTGGGCCAGGGCCTGTTGCCCTTTGCAATGTAGTTTTACTTTGCAAAGTATTTTCCCTAATAAGCCTCTTTCTCTGCTTGCATAGAAAAGCCTGGGCTCTTTTCCACTATTCTTACTTAACAGAGTGAAGGATCCGGGGAGCTCTGGTGGCCTAGTGGCAAGAAGCTGCAACTATAATCCCAGAGGTGCACGGTTCGAATCCACCAGATGCTCTGCAGGGGAAGGAGGGGCAATCTCCTCCTGTACCAGTCAGATCTGATTTGACGGTACACGCACACAAAAATAAAAAACAAAAACAAACAAACAAACAAAAAAACCAGAGTGAAGGATCCTAGTTTAAGGAGTACACTGGAGACATTTTCTTGGAGTTCACATCTAAAGGGTACTTTGGCAAAAGCAATTATAATGTAGTTATGTGAAAAAAAATAAATTTGTAGACTACAGCAGTAGTGTAGTGAGAAGCGTTTATAGTGGAATCCTAACCAGAAACAAACAAAAACCAAAACAAAACATAAAAACAAAGAAGCGGGGCTCAAATATGTGTGTTTCGATTATAACCATCTAATACATCTATGCTTATTAACAAAGCTTGCAGAAAGCAGGAAAGCAAATACTAACAGCATTCAGTGTCATTGAAAACATTTTCCTGTTCCTGTTAAAATAATAAAAACATTTCAGAATTTTAAAAAGCAAAAGAAGAGATGTGCATCAAACAAAAACAGCCAGGGAAGGCTTGAAAAACGTTCTCTTGCCAGGCTTTCGGATTTAGTGAGTTCTCAATAGGATGGCATCTTCTGTCTCCTGAGCCTTTGCAATCCTTTGCCACTAAGGCCCCGGCCCAAATGATTAGATAGTGAAGGCCCGAGTCTTACCTTCCTCAGACTGGCTACAGAAGTTGAACTTGGGCTTCTGTGAAGGTACAATGAATAGTAAGATGGCCACAAATATGGCTACAGTGGCATCAGAGGCATACCTAGGTGGGGAAGAACGCGCAAGATTTCAGCCCAACTCAGTCCACAGTGGCAATATTCAACAAATCTGCCCTGCCTCCAGTAGTTCTGTGTTTAAATGCTTCATGCAGTCTCAGAGAAAAACATAAGCATCAACAAGTGCTGGTGAGGATACAGAGAAACTGGAAGTCTCATATATTGCTGGCTGTGAATGTAATATGATGCTGCCACTTTGGAAAATAGTTGGGCAGGTCCTCAAAATGTTAGACATAGAATTACCATAGACCCAGCAATTCTACTCAACTCAAAAGATTTAAAAACAAGAACCTAACTAAGTACAGCACCTATACACCAGTACTCTTTGCAGCGTTATATCCAACAGTCAAAAAGTAGGAACAACATAAGTGTTCATCAACAAATAAATGGGTAACAAAATGTAGGATATACACACAATTTAGGATATTATTTAGGCAAAGGAAAGAATGATACATGCTACAACATGAATAAACCTAGAAAGCAACACGCTAAATCCATATAAATGGTAGGATTTAATTTAAATGAAATGTCAAATAATGGACAAATCCATAGACAAAACACAGATTGTGGCTGCCAAGGACAGAGGTAGGTGATGGGGAGTGATGAGCAGATATGAGGTTTTCTGTTAGGGGGTGACAAAACTGAAACTAGAGGTAGATATTGTGCAATCTTGTCAAATTTATTAATTCTCACCAAATGAGTGGTTGGAAATTGGAAATCTTATATTAATTTCATCTAAATAAAAGAAAAAGCACAAATTACAAACAAAAGTAGGCTCAAATGGTTATGAAAACTGGAATACAAAAAAAAAAAATCAAAGGGGTAGGGCGGTAAACGTAGTTCCAGACGGAAACAGATATCCTTGACCTGGTCCTGCCATCAACTTTGGGTGACCTTGTGTACCTCAGATCCCTCTTTTGACCTAAATTGCCCCATGAGTTAGCCTTGTGATCTCTTTTTGACCAGATTCTCGAGAATTTAGGGTTTAATAGCATTGTAGTTTTTTTTAGGTACTGTTGAGTCAAGTACAACTCATAACAACCCTGTGAACAACAGATTTGAGACCAGTTCTATCCTGCGCCAACCCACATTCTCTGACATAATCGAGCCCATTGCTGTGGTCCCTGTCAGTCCACCTGGTTGAGGGTCTTCCTCTCCTTCACTGTCCGTTCACTTTTCGAAGTATGATGTCCTCCTCTTAGGAACAGCCACTCCTAGCAACGTGTCCAAGTTATGCGAGATGACACTTCACCATCCTTACCTCCAAGGAGCACTCTATACTGGCTGCACTTTCTTCAAGCCATAACTATTTTTTCTCTTGGCCATCCATGGGTTATATAGTCCTCTTGTCTATTATCACATTCAAAGGCATCAGTTTTTCTTCTGTCATCCTTTTCACTGTCCAGCTCTCGGCCCTAATAAGGTGCACCTTAGTCCTCAAACTAACATCATTGCTCCTCAGTATTTTGGAAAGGTCCATGACCACAGACTTTCCAAGCACAATACATCTCCTAATCTCCTGACTGTTGGTACCAAGTGTATTGATTGTGGATACAAATAAGATGAAGTTGTTGACAGTTTCAATCTCTTGAGAATGTGGTGAGAATTTTTGTTTTCTTGATGTTGAAATGCAATCCATATTTAAGGCTTCAGTATTTTATCTTCTGCAGAAAGTGTTTCAAGTCCCCCTAGCTTTCGGCAAGTAAGGTTTTATCATCTGCATATTGAAGTCTTCATCCATAACGAGGAATTTGAGACAGATATAATGAATCTTTCTCCAATCCTGATGTCATATTCTTTATAGAGACCAACTTCTTGAATACTTTTCTCAGCATATGGATTGAACAGATATGGAAAAAAATAGTCTTACCACATGTCTTTCTTAATATTAAACCATAAAGTGCTCTCCTGCTCTGCACAACAGCTTCTTGGAGCTTAGAATTTAACCTTACTCAAAGAACTTCGTCTTTACCCCTGGTTCCTAATGATCTCAAAAAACAATAACCCTGGAATTGAAGTGTATTCAGTGATAAAGACTCCAGGCCACACTTAAGCAAAACCTTTTACCAGTGAGGTGATGAGCTCGCCCTGGAGCAGGGACTGGTCAGGTCAGCTAGGGTCATAGCACAATAGCTTATGATCACCTCTTATAGACTAAACTTAGGGGAGAAGTCCTGGAGTTTGCATTACTCCTAATAAAGGCTCTGGTTGCTGACTCTCCCGGAGCTTCCTGGTTGGTGAAAAATATCTTCTCTCAGACACTTCGGGACACACGCACTTCATGCATATTGAGAACACTCCCAGATCTTGCCCTGTGCATCCCTTCTTTTTGTTGATCTTGCTGTGGATCCTTTATAACAAAGGATCATAAGTAAAGTACTTTCTATGAGTTCTGTGAATCATCCCAGCACATTACCAAACCTGATGGAGCAGTGGGAACCAGTGAGACACAAGTGATGAAGAATGGGGACCACTTAAGTTTATGGCTATTATCCTGGGAGTATAGAGGGAACTCCCAAACTTGTAGCTAACAAGCGGGTCAGAAGAAAGAAACTAAAGGGTGCCTGAGCTTGCAGCTGACGCCCTGGAGAGGCAGTGGGGAAGCAAGTTTGTAGCCAGAGATCAGAGTAAGGGTGTCATGAGGACTCCCAAGCTGGTATTTAGCATCTGACGTCTTGGGTAGACTTAGCGCCTGGAGGGTTGTGCCCTTCAGCTTGTAAACTGTGTCCTAGCTGAGTGGTTAGGCGCAGAGGAAGAAGTCCTGTATTTTCATGTATGATTCTCATTATTAACGCTGATAAAGTTGCTATTTGTGGTTATTTCCACGCATAACCAGCATGACCACATGCTGAGTTTGGTTTGTCTCAACTAGATTTTCCAAAAGGAATAACCAGTCACTCTCACCCATCTCTTCACCTATCTGTCTTTACTAGAAAGGATTTTTCCCCCCATTTGACAACATCATAGCTTGACATTTTCCCTTTTGTGACACTCCTATCTAAAGAAGCTTCTGGGGTCTGGATGAGTGGATTTGGAGGGATTTGTCCAGGTCACAAGAAGGAGATCAGAGAATGAAAGGGAGCTCTGGTGGCCTACTGACAAAAAGCTACACTGCAATCCCAAAGGCACACAGTTCGAGGCCACCAGCAGCTCCAATGGAGAAGGATGGGCAATCTCCTCCCATGTCATTAACCACCTCTGAAAACCTACCAGAAGGTCAGCTGTGGGTTGGTCCTAACTCAATTATACACAACAACAAAAAAGACAAGAAAAGAAAAAGGGCAGATTTGATATTCAGAAGCCAAACTTCTGGGATCTCCACTCTTAGCCCAATAAATGTTTCTGCCTCATAACTCTGGCCACCCTGCCTGGCCAGATATGTTCTGCTCAGCTTGTCGGGAAAAGAGAAGATGCCAAAGGAGTACATTTGTGACCTTTTCGTGAAGATTGGTGCGAAAGAAGAGAATCCAGCAGCCAACAGTGTGCTGCCCTCTAAAATGCAATTCTAGAACAAAGAACATGCTCCAACGTGGGCTGTGGATGTTTCTCTGTTACCGGTGGCCAAAGACAGGGTTCTGTGGCATGAACTACTTACTTGGTCTCGCCGTCTGTCCAGGCGATGGACAGCCAGCCTGGCATGAAGCCAGGATCCCGGGAGAACCACAGGACTACCAGCAGCAGGAAGCAGAGTAGGACATTGGTCTCAGCAAAGGAGAAGGGCCCCAGTTTCCTGTATTCCTCCTGCAGCACCTCATAGGCGGCCTTCTCGCTGTTCTCCCTCTCTAGTCCACACCCCCAGGCCTTTTTAAAACTAGAGGAAATAAGAAAATGGGAGAACAGTCCATCAACAGGTGAGTGGATTAAAAAAGGGTGAGGTATCCATACAACAGGATGTTATTCAGCCACGAAGAGTATTATGATGTGGAGGACCCTTGACCATTATGCTAAGCGAAAGAAATCAGTCGCCAAACGACAAATATCCTGAGTCCATATGAAATATCTAGAAGAGGAAAATGCAGAGATGCAAGTTTGTTAGTGATCATCAGGGATGGGAGGGTGGCCAAAAGGGAAATTTAAAGGACAATGAGTTCCCATTTGGGGTGGTAAAAAGTTTTGGAAATAAGTAAAGGGATGGTTGCACGCATGGTGGGTGTTAAAGGTGATTTGAAAGCAGCTGGTTATACTGGTTTCATATCCCGTACAGTCTTCCATGGAGCTTGAAGGTGAGGAGGCTATGGCCTTGGACTGGATATGCACTTGGGAGCTGGCCATGAAAAAGTGACAGGTTTTTTTTAATTAGGCCATAGGCAGTGACCCTGACAGTGTCTCTGTGGCCACTCAATGAGCACTTGAGGGCAGGCAAGATAAGGTGACTGTAGAGGTGCTTTCTGCATCTGAGGCAGATGCTCACTTGCCTCAGGTGGGGTGGGCCAGAGGGCCACACAAGGTGGGCTCAACAAACCCTGGTTTGTAGCAGGAGATGGCCTGCACCAGAGGGCGTCCCCTGTAATTCCTGTTGTTTAGGCTGAAAATCTGTTCTCTCTCTCCCTGCCCTGGGATTCACACAAGGCTGCCGCAGGGAGGCCAGCCCACTCCCAGCCCTGTCCCAGCATGCTCGTGTCTGTATGCAGCTAGAACAGCAGGTCAAGAAAGGGCAGGACTTGGCAGCAACGCTGGCAGTTCCAGCTCAGTAGATACTTTCCAAACCCTCTGCCAGCTAAGAGGAGCTGATGGTGGGATGTGCCAGGCTGGGAGAGTGGCAGCTGCAGGTGCTTGGCGGTGAGTTCCCTGGAGCCTGGCATTCACATCAGGCCAGACAGGAGGCTGGTGGTGGTGCCCTTGTGGTCTTGGAGGCAGGCCAGCCCTCTGCCTCTTCCTCTGGGATGAAATTCACTCCTCCTCAGTTGCTCCAGGGCATTCCCAGGCCGGCAGGCAGGCCACACAAGTGCTTCGGACACTTGAACATCAAGATCCTGAAGCTGCCCATCTCTTAACCTGGTGCCTCCCCCACATCCCCTTCAACTCTTCCTGACCCACAGGGAGCCCAAGAGTGTACATCTGAAGGTATTAAGAGCTGCAACCCATGGCACCCTCAAGAGCAGGCATAATGTAGTAGTCAAGGGTATAAGGCTGGAACCAGACTGTCTGGGTTCTAATCTCAGCTCCACTACTTCCAAGTTAACCAGTCTGTGTTGCTCATTAAACCCATCTGTGCCTCAATTTCATTATCTGTAAATTGGGAATAATATTAGTATCTACCTCGCAGTTTATTAGGAAGATCAATTCACTTTATATTCGTAAAGTATCTGGTATATTTAAACAATAAATGTGGGTCTCATCAATACTACTGTCCCACAAGGAGACACAGACACTCATCTGTAGTCTGAAATGGATTTAGAACAGGTGACCTGCGAGGTCTAGGGGATGGACATGAGCAAGAGGGCAGGCAGTCAAGAAGCAGGTGAGCGATACAGGGCAGAAACAGTTGCTGTCCTAACCACACAGCTTCCCGTCCACATGGGACCCGTGCACAGGCCAAGGTGGCCAGGGCACGCCAAAAATACCAACTGGCCTAGTGGCAAGAAGCTGCTCTGCAATCTCAAAGTCACATGGTTCAAATCCACCAGCCACTCCATGGGAGAAGGATGGGTAATCTCCTCCCATGTGATTTACTGCCTCTGAAAACCCACAGTGGGGTCAGCTATGGGTCAGTGCCGACTCAACAGCATGTAACAACAGGGAGCACTGACTGGCATGACATGACTGGCATGACTGGTATTTTCTAGCATCTGCCCCCCTCAGGATGCCGATAGGGAGCACTGGTGGCCCAGTGACACAGAGTTGCACTGCTAACCCAAAGGCCTGGGTTCAAATCCACAAGCTTCTCTAAGGAAGAATGAAGGGTTCCCTCCATAAAGCCTCTGAAAACTCACTGCAGGGTCAGCTTTGAGTCAATTCTGACTCAGTGGTGATGATGATGGGATGTTGACTGTCTTGGCTCTTACTAACAATTGTTAATGTTGTTGTTTTTGTTGTTGATTGCCTTCAAGTCATGCACAGCTCTTAGTGACCATATGAACAAAAGGCCTGAAGCCTTTCTATACCTATCGACATTTATTAAAGTTTCCTGAGGCATGTTGTTTAGGAAGTGGATGCCACTCCTGCTTCTAATTGTTAATTGTAGGACTTTAAAAAAAGTTCTCTTCTAGGAGAAAACATAGGAACATGGTTAATTTCCCCCATGAAGTCAGAGATCTGCGCAGGCTCCTCTGCCCTCCAGCTCTGAGACTCCCTGCCTGGTGGCACACTCTGCTGTGTTTCACGCGTCATGAGCATGGGTGAGTGCTTTCTATGGTCACATGGGACGACTACCTCAAACAACTCTTTGTGGGTATTTATTTGACAATCACACTCTGTGGCCTCTGTCCAAAGTTTCACTGCTGGCAAAGTTGACATGGACTTTGATGGGGTTGCCAGTGTGCTGGGGATAGGAAGTAAATTCCCAGAACCCAGCATGTGCTCAGAGCATTGTACGCGCTCAGGTAAAGGTCAGGGCTGGGGTCAATTTAGCAGAAGCTGGAGGTTTGCAGTGACCTGACCTAGTGGGCGCATGTAGCCAAGTGGATGTTTGTCTAACAATGCAGATTTGGCAGCGGGGACAAACACACCTGCTCTTTCCCCCTGTGCCTGGAGCTGGGCTGAGGATAGAGGTCAAAGAGGTTAGGTCCTGTCCTCAAAGAGCTCATGGTCAGATGATGGATGACACTGGAACATGACTGTGGGTACCAATGATGGGGTGAGGATACACCCAGTCACAAACAAATGAACCAATGCTCCTGCAATTGAATGGCTGGTGGTGGTGGTGATGGTGTGTACCGTTGAATGGGAACTGACCCATATCTGAGCCTCCAGCAGGTTCCAGAGGCAGTAAATCGCCCAGGAGGAGATTGCCCATCTTTCTAACAGTGCACTCGTGGATTCGAACTGTGTGCCTTGGGTTGACGGTGCAATTCCTTACCTCTAAGACATGTTGACAAGAAAGCAGTATTTTAACTTGCACGTAAAGATTGAGAAGGCAGGAAGGCTGGAATGGTATCCCAAGAAAAGAGAAGGGTGTGAGCAAAGGCACAGAGAGCAGCCTGAGGCGGACAGAACCAGAGGGTGGATGGACGGATGAGTCGGAGTCAGGACCAGAGATCGAGGCTGGGCAGACACAGACTTTGTCCACTCACCTGCTGAGTCTGCGGGCTTTCCAGCAGGGCTGTGAGGTGACTAGGCTCTTCTGGAAGCAGTTCATACTTACTTGAATCTCATGAAAAGGCACTGGAGCCACAGCCAGGCAAGCAGCAGCATTATCAGCATGTTGGGGAAGGCGAATCCAAACCAAGAGGCAAAGTTGACGATGTCTTTACTGTCAGGAAACAATCTGGAAAGAGAAACGCTCGCTCAGAAGCCGAGCTGTGGAGCCGGAGGCTGAAGTGCCGAGCCTGTCCCCTCCACCTCCTGGGCCAGGTGCCCTCCAAATCTCTGCCACAGGCTCACCTCCACACAGGACAGAGGCCACTGTATTTCTGTTCCAGTTGTGCCCACTGCAATTTGTACACTTCTAGATGAATGCATTTAAACGCATGACTGGCATTTTCTAGCATCTGCCCCCCTCAGGATGCCGATTTCTCTCATTTTTGTGACTCTAGTCTCTGCTCAGCAAAAGGCCAGACATAGAGCTAGGTCCTCACAACTTGTGACTCTTTGTGGCCACGGCCAGGAAGTTCCAAACTACCTCTGTGGCCCACTTAGGACCTCACAAGGGCTTATCACAGGGTCAAATAGTGGGATTATGGTGACTGAAATGGTGAGTCAATGAGTGCCCAATCCCAGACCGTTAGCTCATCTCTAAATCTCACTATCTGAGGACCTTCACCCTTTACATCCAAGTTTGTCATATTAGGATGGCTTATATATCTTTGTGTTGCTGGACGTTATACCCGTGGTGAACATATTTTAAAGAAACTTTTAAATGAAGACAAACTAGGAAAAGAGGTCCGGGGCTTTACTTCTGAAAATGTGAACCTTATGAAGCACAAGAGTACTGGCTGTCACAGTGCTGTTGGTAGGCACTACCCAAGTGGCGTCCACGGACTCAGGCATACCAATAGTAAAGATGGAATGTAAATAGTAGAGCAGGACTTAACTCAATGGCCACTAACAACAGCCAATTTCTGCAAGTTTGAACCAAAGCCCCACTCGTCTGGAAATATGTTGTCATCTCTATGACTTTTAGTTCACAGAATAATCCATAGTCCCTCTCATTGGAAAATCCTGAGCCCAGGGGAGAAAGATAGGATTCCCTTGGACAAAAAGAAAATTTCATCTTCATTTAACCTGCCCCTGGATGCTATTTTCACTTGGTCTGTGGACTGTCATCAGCTCCCACCCCCTTCTAAGGACTTCTGAGTAAGCGAGGGGTGCAAAGGCTGGAGATAAGATGGGGGAGTATCTTCCCACCCCTGCCCGGCTCCCAGGACCCCGCTGGAGGAGAGGAGGAGGGCAGGTTCCAGCCCTGCGGTCTATTTAGAAGATGCAACTGAGACTCACTCTTGCATCTGGCCCTGGAGCACCACGTTGGGTCCGGTCCCGGTGAGGGTGGCCGTGCCGCCAATACTGGCCGCGTAGCACACGCATAGTGTCATGGCCTTGCAGAGGCTCTTCTTGTCCTTTCTCTCCTGCTGTCCTAAGGCCGGGCCTTCGAAGATCACTTGATTCCCTGTGGCAGGCATACAGTTGATGCATACAGTTCTTAGCGAGTCTTTGGGTCCACTCCCCGCCCCAGCACCTGAAACCTACAGTGTGGGGCACCCCATGCAGCCCCATCTGTTGTGTCCTGTCTAGTAGGAACCCATTCATAGCTCTCCCTCAAGCAGGAGGTCATAGTCAGTTCAATCACGGGAGAAGAAAGTGCTCATCTTTCTCCCATGGAGAAGTTAGTGGATTTGAACTGCGGGCCTTTGGACGGCAGAGCAGCTCCTTACCATCAGGTCACCAGAGCTCCCTCTCAGCTCATCTAGATCCATTCAATTGCTTTCCTCAGCATTCAGCCTAAACTTTGGGAAGGCCCCATTCACATTCTCAAAGTTATTTTCAATGACTTCCCCAAGGATCCACCATACTATACCTAGATCCACCTAATAAAAACCCTTCACCCTCTATATAAGGAGCCCCATCTCATCACCTGCATCTCTCTTGGAGGGTCCAAGACCACTTCAAAAGGTCTTCTCTTCTTAGCTCTTCCTCAATGTCTTACACACATGCTCACCTGGTACCACCCCCTCATGTCTGGACTAGGTATACGTGTCCTGTTTATCCCACCCCTCTGAGGCTCCATGGAGTCTGCATCCTGGTGTGCTGAGTATAAGCCCAGGGCGTCACACAGGGTTTGACAATCAGGCCATAAGCGCTGAGTCCTGAATTCCCCTGTGCTACCCAGTGTAGCGGTCCCTCAGGGTGAGGTAGGGAACAAAGCGGAGGAGGAGGAGGCAGATTCTCCTTGTCTCCAAGAGCTCAGTGAACAAGCAGCCCCAAAACGTGTGGGAGCCGGAAGTGGAGGAAGTTGGCTTGTTCAAGTTCACAGAGAGCTCCCTTGAGAATAAGTAGCAAGAGGTGGGAGGCCCTCAGTAAGAACTTAAAGATGTTTGATGCTGAATGAATAACCAAGGGGGGATGACTTGTGGATTTCTATGATGGCAGGAACCTAGTGTGAAACCTTGTCAGAGGTTCTCCTGTGAGGAAAGCAACTAGGATCTAACTCTTAATGCCATAATCACATTTCTAAAACATATTTATGAAATTATTATGGTCTCAATATTTTTGTCCATGGATAGAATGAAGGGAAGCTGGAGGAGGGTGGGAGACGGCTGGCACTGTAGACTCCCAACAGCCCCCGGGCAGGGGCTCACCTGGCAGCTCGCTGGCCTTGCCCTTTTCCACCAACTCCAGCTCGGTGGCTGCCCTGGTGGCCTCCATCTGCTGCAGCATGGCCTCCACGATGGGCACCATCATGGCCGTGGTGGCCGTGTTGCTGATCCACATGGACAGGAAGGCTGTGACGCCCATGAAGCCCAGCATCAGCCTGCAGGAGAGGAGCAGCGAGAAAAGTCCAGGAGTTTCCCCAGCCACCTCCACCCTTATGCCTGAGGGGCAGCTAGGAGGCAGGTCCACGCTGCAGGGATGCACGGGGTCAGTGCAGACCACGGCGCTGCTGAAGACCAAGGTGCTGGGGTCCTCTCCACTCAGCAATGCTTCTCAGAATTCATTACCAGTTCAGTGTCTTCTCTCCTTCCCTTTCGCCTTTTCTTCTTTCCTTCCTTTATTCCTGTCTCCTTCCTAACTTTCTCCTACAAACACTGCTGAAGTATGCTCTGTTGGCTGCTAGGTCACAAAGGCCCTTAGACCCTGCAGTGGTTCTGAAGAGCTCCCCACCTAGCAGAGGAAGCACAGGCATCAGATGATGCACACCAAGGTGGAGAGTTTGCCCTGGGACAGCCAGGACACTGGAGGAGGACAGAGATAGGGTGTGGTCAAGCAGTCCTGGTGCAGGTAGCCCCGAGTCCCAGCCTCTACCTAGGAGAGTTCCATGCATCCTGAACACTGACTCTCCTAAGCTGGAAAGGGCTATACAGAGCCAGCTTTCAGGGGCAGGAAGAGGTGGGGTGGGACCTAGAGTAAGTGTGAGCTCCCTCCCAATTGACCTCACCATCACCGTCTCTTTCCAAATACACACTGTGCCGACCTCCAGTCTGCAATGGACGAGATCAAATGAACAATGCTCAGAAAATAAGTTCCCTTGGCTGACCTTTTATTCTACCATCTGCTTAGAAAAACCCTCCTGGTTCTTCCAAATCAAGGTCTTTCTCAGTGATCACCTCCCAGGGCACATCAGGTGGAGCTGACCATACACTTCTCAAGCCTGTATCCCACCCTCATCACTGCGCTGGGCTCTGAGCTGTTTGCTGCTGCAGGCTTTCGAGTGTTAGCAACCCAAGCGCAGGGGTAGGATCTGATTCTCTTCTGTGTGCCCTCTACACCTTGGCACAGTCCAGGAACAGAAGGGGCTTAGAAAGAGCTTGGCTGAATGGGACTCAATGGCTCTGTGTCTCTGTACCTCTTTGCTGTCAGACTCGTCTCAAAAGGCTACTTATATGCCTGGAAGTAGGAGATGAAGGGATTTAGGACTGCCCCAGGGCTCAAGCTCATGACCCTACAAGATGGTTTCATGGATCCATAAAAGCTGAGGTTGGGACTCAGGCAAGAAGGACCGCGAGAGCTTGCATGAATAATAGCTGTGGTGGAAGGATGATGGCATGTCCATGATACTTCATATCACCGAGGGGGCCTCAACATAACGGTTTACCCAAGATTATAAACAGTGAGAGGTCAAACTCAGAAAAGGTTCCAGGAGGCAGGCAGGAAAAGAAAGCAGGGAGAAGACAGTGGATTTGGAAACCAGAGCTTTCATGCTTGCTCTGGAATGAGGTCTACCACAGAGGCTTTTCACTGACCAGTGGAGGAAATCAGGCCACTCAAAAGGACCTTGAGAACTGAGAGGCCTGAAGTCTCATGTTTTGTTTTTGTTTTTTTTTTTTAGAAAGTGTAAGAGCTTTTGATTTACCTCTGGAAATCAATCACTAGAGGAAATCAATGTCTCTCTGAGCTGCTTAAATGTGGGACGTGATCCAATGAATCCCCTCTGAGGGTTCTAACTGGACACAAAGCCCTCAAGAAATCCTCTCAGGGGCTTCAAAAGAGTCTTAGGCATCAGTCAAGTTTGGAGGCAGGCTCAAGGTCTATGTCTCTTCAGGGTCTGCATGAGGGATTCTCAGAGACTGCTTGGTATTTGGTACCATCAAGTCAATTCTGACACATGGTAGCTCCGTGTGACACAGTAAAATAGTCCTGCAGGGTTTTTCGGGCTTTAATCTAAAAGCCGACCATGAGGTCTTACTCAGAGGCCTCTTCTTTGAACTAACTAGCAGCTTCAAGGTGGTTCAGGGGTACAGTTCTCCCTCCCCTATGTGGAAGATTCTAGTTCAATTCTTGACCAATATGCCTTGTGTGCAGTCTGTGTCAGCTAACAGCTTCTCTCCAACAGTGGGGTTGAGCATGCAGTGTAATTTAGGAAGCACAGTTCTTCAAAAGAGTTACAACTTCATCCTGAGTTCTAATCAGAGGGGACACATCTGGAGACATGTTCCCAAAGACAGATTTGGTCTAATCCAAATGTGACCAGAGAAAAGAAATTAAACTTGGTTCCCCAAGACGATCTCTCATCGTTAACACTTGAGTGATGGTTTGGGAAATAGCACCCAGCCCTCAGAGCAGTACTGAGAATTGAGCATAGCAAAATACAAAGCTCCTAGGATCACACCTAAGGCATTGGAGACACTCAGGATAGTCAGTTGTTATGATTACGCTGACCTCATTGGTTGGTTGGAAACAGCTCATTGGTCAGAAAAGGAATCAGAATGGTGATTGATTTTATAAAATATATGCATGAGAATGATTGTGTGAAACATAGTAGGAATGAAGAATAGTGTGAAACACAATATATATGAACTTTGTGAGCAAACAAATATAAAATAATTTTTCAGAAAGCTGAATAATAAAGGTGAAGATGAAGTAGGAAGATTCCAAGGGAAATGGATGACTCAGCTTTGAGAGATCTCCTTTCTGTGTACCTTTGAACTAGGAATATAAGCCATCTGTGACCTGTCTTCTTCACAAATGCCCTATTAGGAATGGCTTGCTCCAGCCTGCAAACCCCCCTCCACCACCTAGAACTTCTGGAACCCTACAGCTCCTCCCCAGGAAACCTTCTTAGCCTTCCTCTCCGGCCTGCCCCCTCCCTCCCTATCCACGGCTGCTCACCATGTGCCATGTGCCACCACTGCTGCCTCAAGTCCCCTCCGCTGAGATTTGCCACAATTCCCACCCAGGGGCCAGCCTGCCAAGACCAGGTAAAGACCGTGGCCTGCCCTTTCTTGTGGCTGGCCAGCCTTCTCTGTCACATTCTCCTCCCCAGCCTTGGGGCCCACACAGAGCCATGTGGCAAAAGAGAGAGAAGGTGTAATTACTGTGCGGGCTTGGCCCCCACCCAGAGGAGCGTGCGCAGGGCAATCCTCTTGTGCAGGTTCCACCGCTCCACAGCCACTGCCACAATAAGGCCGCCCAGGAACAGCATGTTGGTGTCCTTCATGTACTGGACACACACCTGGAGAGACACACACTGCTTGGGCCCAGAGCCACTCAGACCCCCAGAGACAGGCAAGCAAGGCCAGAAGCTGCCTCCAAGGCCAGCTCAGGGTGGCGGCTCAGACGGCACGTCCTCATGCAGGGAGAACCCACACAGGGGGAAGATGTGGCCCCAGCTGGGCCCAGGCACTGGGGAGAGGAGGGCATTAGAGCAAACCAGCGGGAAGCTGGGGGGACCCCCCCCCACCGGCTTTGCTCACCTGCTTGGAGTCCAGAATCTTGAAGAGTGGGAAAAGCAAGAGTGGGATGAGAGAGGTGACCGCCAGAGGGATGACTTCTGTGCACCAGTAAATGGCCATGAGGATGATGACGTACGCACACCTGACAAACTGAAGAGACAGAGCTGAGCCTCAGCATGCCACGGCCCCCAGTCCCCTCGAGCCTGCACACATGGGCGGTGGTTCTAGAACGCACAGCCAGAGCAGTGTGTGTCCTCACAGGCAACCCCCGCAGGGCTCCCCTCTTCACGTTCCTCAGCACAGCTTTCCAGGTTTAACAGAAGGCCACAGTGTCCATTATTGACAACTCCCTTTCCCACCAGCCACGTGATCCTGGACAAGCCCTTCCCTCTTGTCAAGCCTGGGGTTCCTGATCTCTCAAAACGAGATAACAATAGAAGGAAGAGGTGGGAAAGGAGGAGGAGGAGGAGGCAGAAGGGAGAGATGAAGGAGTAGAAGGGGAAAGAAGATAGGAAGAAAAAGAACAAAACAAAAGCATCTTGCAATGTAAGTATAGGTCTTCTGCATTTTGCAAATTAAATGTCTTTTAATTTCAACCCTGCTTCCTTTCCTCAACATTCCATCATAAGAATTTTTTCATTTGGCTACATATAGTCATTTGTTTAAAAAATTTATTATTTTTTTGTGTGTGTACTGTCAAATCGGATCTGACTGGTACAGGAGGAGATTGTCCCTCCTCCTCCAGCAGAGCATCTGGTGGATTTGAACCGTGTACCTCTGGGATTGCAGTGCAACTTCTTGCCACTAGGCTACCTGAGCTCCCTTTACAAATAATAATTTTTAAAGTTGCAAATATCCCCTAAGTTTGACTAATCTTTGTCCTGCAGGTGAGAAGATGTTGTTCTTTCTTTTCTGCTGTGAAAATGATGCTGTGTCCACCCTACCTACTTGACTCATCTATTTTGAAATCAGTCCTCAGCAGAGATTCCCCAAAGTAGACAACTGAACTCCTTCCCTACTGTCAGAAACATACACATCAAATATTTCATCCATAACAAGTTGGCAGCACTGAGCACTTTTAGGGATATTATTATTATTATTAATTACAATTTAGAAGATGGGACTTGGTGTTGCCACTCACTCCCTCTCTCATTCACTATCATCAAGTTGAAACTCGCTTATAGCTGACCCTCCAACAGGTTTCTGAGGCTGTAAATCTCACTGGAGGAGATTGTCCATCTCTCTCCCTTGGAGCCGCTGGTGGATCTGAACTGCCAGAGAGATGCCAACTTTGATTACTGGTACAACACCCTATGAAACTATACCACCAGAGCTCTCTGCTCTGTCCATTAACATTTCTTTAATTACAAAAGTATTTTGGAGAGCTCCATGACAGTAGACTTGCCCAATGCAATACGTCTCCTGATCTGCTGACTGCTGGTGCCAAGGGTGTTGATTGTTGATCCAAGCAATATTATACTTTGGACATGTAGTTAGGTGAAGCGATTCCTTGGAAAGGGACATCAGGCTTGGAAAGATGGAGGGTCAGTGAAGGAAAGGAAGACCCCCAACAACATGGATTGACACTGTGACTTCAGCAATGGGCTCCAGTGTCTCAGAGATGAGGAGGATGGCACAGGATAGGGCGGGATTCAGGATGGCTATTCATAGGGTCACTAGGAGTCACACTTGACTCAACAACAACAATTACAAAAGTCTCAAGCCTTATCTTTGTATTTCATTTTCTGTGAATTTTCTATTCATAGCCATTAGCAATTTAACCAGTGGTTTCTTGGTGGAAAGAAACACGAGTAGAAAGAGTTGAACTTTACAGTGAGATAGACCTGGGTTCAGAGGCACACATTTGCTGCTCTAGTCTCTCCTCCTTGTGGGGCTCAGGTGAGTAGTGAAACTTCTTGGAGCTACAGTCTGGTCACCAATTAAAATTCAGATAATTACAGGTTCCTTTCTAGGCTACTCTATGTTGTTGTTGTTATTGTAAACCATTGAGGCAGAGCTGACCCATCGCTGACCCTCCAACAGATTTTCAGAGGCAGTAAATCACATGGGAGGAGGCTGTCCATTTCACTCTGGCTAAGCAACTGGTGGATTTGATCCATGTACCTTTGGGTTGGCAACACGATTCCTTACCACTAAGTCGTAAATGTTATTACCTAGGCTTTGCCCTCTTTTCCACAACAGTCCTGTCCAATTAAATCAGTTGCAAAAACGATAGGATCTACCTCCTTGAATCTCTGACCTCTTCCCATATCTCTTTCTCTGCACCATGACCCTGGCTTTGGTTCAGACTCCTTGTCTCCTGCCTGGATCCCTGCAGCTGCCTTCTAGTTTGATCTCCTTAAAGCCAGCAAAACACACTGTCCCTCATCTTTTCAAATTTAATCACATTACCCCCTGGTTTTAATACCTCTCTCTGCTTCCAGGATGTGTACCTAGGTGCCATGGCACGACTCAAAAGCCCCTCACTGTAGCATCAAGCCCTGCAGCCCTTTCAGGTCTGTCTCCTTCTCCCTTCACACTTCAATCCCAGCTGCCTCAAAGCACTTGCAGTACCTACGGCATTGCTGCTCTTCTTCTCACACCCTCCTTTTCTCACATCACACCCCAGAGCAAGGTCCCACTGGTCAGTTCAGCTTTTTTCCTTTTCTTGGATCCCTACCCTGGTTCCCTGCACAGTGAGGATTTCTCCCTCACTTTCGAGAGGTCACCCCTAGGACTTCTTAGCACACTGTTGTTTCTTTAACTGTCTCCTCAACCAAACAACAAGCATCTCAAGGGCTAAAGTAGTGTTTCTAGATTCATTCTGTCCTCGACACCCAGCACAGTCCTAGCACTTGGGATATGTACAGCAAATGCTTACTGAAGGAATAGGCAAATCAAAGAAACTTTACCTGAGCAAACCGGTGATAGTGCTACAAAAAGAAAAACAAAAAACAACACTGTACATTATTACTATGGACCTCTGGTGGCCTAGTGGTAAGAAGTGACACTACAATTCTGAAGGCACATAGTTCGAATCCACCAGCTGTCCCATGGAAGAAGGAGGGCAGACTTCTTCCATGCAATTAACTGCCTCTGAAAACCTACCAGAGGGTCAGCTATGGTCAGTCGGTTCCGACTCAACAGTACACAACAACAACAACAACACGATTACTATTCAGTGTCACCTCAGAGAATACACACTATACACAATAGAACATTGCAGGAAGATTAGAAAGTCTTTATGGATTACATAATGGGTCATAAAAATGAAATCTCTTCTTGGTTTTCTATGAGAATCCCAGGGCACCTCCCTTCTATCCCAAGCAGGGTTTCTCTATCTCAACGCTGTTGACACTTTGTGCCAGATGATTCTTTGTTTTAGGGACTGCCATGGGCATTATAAAGGGTGCTCAAAAGCAACCTTGACCTTTATCCTCTGTTGTTGTTAGGTACCATTGAGTGAGTACAATTCATAGCAACTCTATGAATAACAGACCTGATCCTTATTCTATCCTGTGCCAACCTCATTGTCTTTGATATGCTTGATCCCATTGCTGCAGCTACTGTGTCAATTCATCTCACTGAGGGTCTTCCATTCTTTTGCCGACCCTCCATCTTTCCAAGCATGAAGTTCCTTTTCAAGAAATAGCCTCTCCTAACAGCAAGCCCAGAGTATGTGATGCCAGTAAAATGATGCTGAGTGAAATATCTCAGTCGCAAAAGGACAAATATTGTGTGGTGCCACTGCCGTAAAATGGGACTGATATCAGGGTGGGACTAAGACTGAGAAAAACTGGATAAATTGTGTATACTGCACTGAAACAGATGAGGGACTGAATAATTTAAAAGCGATGTATGATAGGGTATTATGGTTATCACAAGAGTCCACAATTAAGGTTGCATAGTGGAATGTACTTGGTGTGGTGTGGGGGGATTGTGTACCAGGGAGGGAGTCTTTCTTTTACTTTTGAAAGAGAGGAGCGAACTGGGGGTGGGGGGAGAGGGCTGGGCGGGGAGAGAAGTGCAGCAATGAATGAATGGAAATCCAAATACTCTGTAAATGTTCATTAAAATTATTAAAAAAAAAAGAAAAAACTCAAACCCACTGCTATCGAATCAGAACTGACTCATAGCTAAACCTCCACAGGATTTTTCAGAAGCTATAAATCACACGGGAGGAGACCATTCAACTTCCTTCATGGAGTAGCCGGTGGGTTCCGACTGTTCTTTTGGGTTGGCAGTGCAACACCATGTTGACTAGGCCTCTAGAATTTTCTCTAGCACGCCTTCAAGTTATGACTATAAAAAATGGCTTCAGGCTTAATAAAATATACCCTGGGGAGAAAAACTGCCCTTAATTCAGAGCCACTGGGCTAAACGTAGAACAACAGAGTAGTCAGAAGCTCTGGCTAACACGAAACGGATTGAATCATGCTCCTAACGTCACTGGTCTTAGTGCTGGGTGTATACCAAAGAGGACAGGAGATGGAGTGACCCCTTCCTGGAAAATTTTAAAACCCTAAGAAAACAATCTAAAGATCAGCCTACTGCTTCTTATCCTGTGCTGCTGGTCTCAGTGTCATTGATGAAGATATTCCTCCCACATGAGAGAGAGCATTCCCCACCCTGAGCCCCTCTCTCCTCATTGCATATTCTCACCTGTAAAGCAAACATTCACTAGTGACTGCCACCTGTCACTTTGCTGTACTGAGAAACCTTGCATGTTGCTGTGGTGTAGAAAGGCTCTCCCACCAGTATTTCAAATACCAGCAGGGCTGCCCACAGTGTAGAAGTGTCAGGGAAGCCTCCAGACTTAGACAGACTACAAAGAAAGGTCTGGCGATCAACTTTGGAAAAGTAGCCACCTAAAAGTCTGGATCACAACCGAATATGGTCCAGTTGCCAATGATCATGAAGATGGAGCAAGACCAGGCGATGGCAATGTTTCATTCTGTTTTATAAAGATCATAGTAGGGGAGCTCTGGTGGCCTAGTGGCAAGAAGCAGCATTGCAATCCCAGAGGTGCATGGTTCAAATCCACCAGATGCTCTGCTGGGCAAGGAGGAACAATCTCCTCCAGTACCAGTCAGATCTGATTTGATGGTACACACACAAAAATAAAAAAAATTTAAAAAAAAAGATCATCA